TATATATTTCCTTCCAGGGAAGTTGTACACATTTTAATTTTCACCAGAATTTCATTAGGGTGCCCATTTTCTGTGCTCTTTCCAATATTACTGCTCCTGTCATCATCATCACCATTATCATCATTCCTTGCCAAGACTTATAGGTGAATATAGTATTTCTCTGGTTTAATCTACATTCTTCTGGTTACTGAGGAGGTTTAGTATTTTCAAAAAAGTTTATAAACCTGTGCTGGTGCTGTGGTGTGATCGATAAAGCTGCTGCCTGCAATGTTGACATCCCATATGGGCACCGGTTAATGTCCTGGCTGCTCCACATCCGATCCAGCTCTCTGCGGTGGCCTGAGAAAGCAGTAGAAGATGGCCCAAGTGCTTGGGCCCCTGTATCCACCTGGGAGACCCAAAATAAGCTCCTGTCTCCTGGCTTTGGATCAGCCCAGCTCCGGCCGTTGCAGCCATTTGGGGAGTGAACCAGTGGATGGAAGATCTCTCTCTCTCTCTCTCTCTCTCTCTCTCTCTCTCTCTCTCTCTTTCTCTCTCTCTCTCCCTGCCTCTGCCTTTCAAATAAATAAGTAAAATCTTTTTAAAAATGTTTATAAAAATATTTAAGTCAGTTTTAAATATTTATTTATTTGAAAGGCAGAGTTGCAGAGAGATAGAGAGAGAGATTTTCCATCCATTGGTTCACTCCCCAAATGGCCACAACAGCCAGAACTGGGTAGATCTAAAGACAGGGGCTTCTTCCAGGCCTCCCATGTGGGTGCAGGGGCCCAAGGACTTGGGCCATCCTCCACTGCTTTCCCAGGCACATTAGCAGGAAGCTAGATCAGAAGTGGAGCATCTGGGACTCGAACCTGTGACCACATGGGATGCTAGTACTGCAGGCAGTGGCCTCGCCTGCTACACCACAGCACCAGGCCCGTAAGTCATTTTCTAAGTTTCTTATTTATATCTTTTGACCACTTTTCCATCAGGATTCATTTTTCTCCTACTGCCCCAATTGTTTTTCTTTTCTTTTTCCTAGAAACCTTTTATTTAAGGAATATAAACTTCATGCTTTTGATAAATACAACTTTAGAAATATAGTGATTCTTCCTACTGTACCCACCCTTCCATCCACAATCCCACTCCTCTTTCTCCTCACTCTCCTATTCCTTCTTATTTTTTACTAAGATCTATTTTCAATTAACTTTATACACATACAGTGAAATCAATAAAGAGTTCAACAAATTGTATGAAAAAAAAAACTGTTCCTCAAATGTCCAGACAAGGACTGTTCAAAATCATTGCATCTCGAAATGTTAATTTCACTTCTATAGATCACCTATGAGGTATTCTATTAGTTATCAGTAATCAGGGAGAATATATGTTATTTATCCTTTTGAGACTGGCTTATTTCACTGTGTGTTTTCCAATTTCATCTATTTTGTTGAAAACAACAGGATTTTTTTTTTTACCACTCTGTAGTATTTCATGGAGTATATATCCCAAAATTTGTTTATCCAGTATTCAGTTGATGGACATTTGGGCTGATTCCATATCTTAGCTATTGTGAATTGAGCTGCAATAAACATGGTGGTATAGATAATTCTTTCATATGCTGATTTCATTTCCCTTGAGTAAATTCCCAGGAGTGGAATGACTGGATCATATGGGCGCTGGATTCGAGTCCCAGCTGCTCCACTTCCAATCCAGCTCTCTGCTGTGGCCTAGAAGGGCAGTAGAAGATGGCCCAAATCCTTGGGCCCCTGCACCCATGTAGGAGACCCAGAGGAAGCTCCTGGCTCCTGGATTCGCATCGGTACAGCTCTGGCTGTTGCAGCCAGTTGGAAAGTTAACTGACACTCATATGGGATGCCGGTGCTGCAGGAGGAGTTTCAGCCTACTACGCCACAGGGCTGGCCCTTCCATATAATTTTTAAATAAAAAATAAGTTTCCCTTGGAACCAAGAATTTTTAATTGCATGCATGGTTTTGTAACTGATACATAAAATGTATATGTTTATGGGGTACCAAGTGAGGTTTTGATACATATATATGTTATATAATTTCCAATCTTGGAAACATTTCTTTATGGTGGAAACATTCCAAATCCTTTCTTCTAGTTTTTTTTTTTTAGAGGAATACAGTACATTATCAATATATATTCACCTTGCTGTGCAATAGCACACCAGAACCTTTTACTCCTGTTCAGCTATAACTTAATACTCTTCATTCAACCTTTCCCCATCTTTCCCTTCCCCCTACTCTCCATGGCTTCCGGTCACCACCACTCTAACTTCTATGAGATCAAATTTTTTAGACTTCATATATGAGTGAGATCACGGGGTACTTGTCTTTCTGTGCTTGGTTATTTCACTTAACATAATGATTTCCAGTTCTATTCATGTTGTTGCAAATTATAAGATTTCATCCTTTTTATGGATGAATAATATTTGCTTGTGTATATGCACTTATCCATTCATCAATTGGTAGACATTTAGGTTATTTCTATTTCTTGCCTATTATGATTAGTGCTGCAAGTAAAAAATGAGCAATAGATCTTGACAGATGTTTCTCAAGAGAAGATAGGCAAATGGCCAACAGGTGCATGAAAAATTTATCACTAATCATAAGGGAAATGAGAATAAAAAACCACAATGAGATATCACCCCTACTCTCCTAAAGACAAAAAATAATAAGTATTAACAAGGATGTGAAGAAAAGGGAACCCTTGCACACTGTTGGTAGAAATGTAACTTAGTACAGCCATCATGGAAAAAACAGTATGGAAGTTCCTCACAAAATTAAAAATAGAACTAACATATGATCCAGCAATCCCACTACTGGGTATATATCCAAGGGAAATGAAATCACTCTGTCAAAGAAACATCTGCTGTCTCATGTTTATTGCAGCACTATCCATATAAATTTTAAAGTAAGTTTATCTGTTTCAATAAAAACAGTCTGCTGGGATTTCCATAGGGATTACATTGGATATGTAGAATAATTTGTAGAGAATTTCTATCTTAACAACACTGAATCTTTCAATCCATGGACATAGATATATTCTCCATTTATTTAAGTATCCTTTAGTTTCTTCTAGCAATATTTTGTAGTTTTTAGTGTATAGGTTTTATGCTTCATTTGTTAAGTTTATTTTTCATTGTGCTTAAATTCTTTTTCATGGCACTACAAATGGAACTTTTACTTTGATATTGCTCAGTACAATTATTTTTAATAAGGTCAAAAATGTATGTCATTTTTCTCCCAACATTAAACTACTAGTAGTATTTACTTCTAGTATGATATATAATTTAATACATTGGCAGGAACCAATCACTGATACTTATCATAGGACCAGAATTCTGGGTAGTAAATGCTCTAGGAACAATTTTGCCCTTAAGGAGTGACAGTCCTAAAAATTTTAAAGTATGTTAATACAGAAAGAGTCCTGGGAATTCAACTAGAATACATGATAAAATGTTTATTATAAGATACTTAATAATGCTGACTTTTCTCAATGTTTTATTGATTTTTAAAAAATTGTTATAAATGCACTCCTTTGTATTTGCTATGTATCAATCAGTAAATTTGTAAATTGTGCTTATTTTGACACTTCTCGTCTCAAGATAATGGTTTGTTGTAGTACTCATTTGTGCTTCTGTCACAATAAAAAATGTTATTTAGGGGGAAAATAGCACCCTGCAGTTAGTTATTATAACAAAAAGGAGATTTATTTTGCCAGGCCTAACACACACTTTTTTCCTAGCCTTTTAGTAGACAACCATCATTTAAATAATTTATGTGTAAAGCATGATCTTATAGAATGTCAATATGTTACGTTAGGATGAGGTATTATATTATATAAACTGAGTAACATTAGGGTTTTTCCAACTGACTAAAAATTAACATACATTGTTTAATTTCAAATTTTTCTCATAAAGTTTTGCTTTCTTTTTGAATACCAGTTATTGCCTATCCACTTGTAAGCATTAATGAACACTAAAATAAATGGCCAAGTTTATTTTTGCATAGCAGTAGACTTAGATTATGATGCTTACTTCAACAAATTTTTTTTTTCACAGGCAGAGTGGACAGTGAGAGAGAGAGACAGAGAGAAAGGTCTTCCTTTTGCCGTTGGTTCACCCTCCAATGGCCGCCGCGGCTGGCGCACCGCGCTGATCCAAAGGCAGGAGCCAGGTGCTTCTCCTGGTCTCCCATGCGGGTGCAGGGCCCAAGCACTTGGGCCATCCTCCACTGCACTCCCAGGCCATAGCAGAGAGCTGGCCTGGAAGAGAGGCAACCGGGACAGAATCCAGCACCCCGACCAGGACTAGAACCCGGTGTGCCAGCACTGCAAGGTGGAGGATTAGCCTATTGAGCCACGGCGCCGGTCCAACAACTTATTTTTACTAGCATAATTGACACATGTTTCTCAAGAGAAGATAGGCAAATGGCCAACAAGTGCATGAAAAATTTATCACTAATCATAAGGGAAATGAGAATAAAAAACCACAATGAGATATCACCCATTTTTATAAAAAATGGCATTTTTATAAATGCCAGTTTTATAAAAAATGGCATTTTATGGTGCTCTGCCCTGAACAAATTTAAGAACCACCAAGTTAAATAAGTCATTTAAAAGGAACAGAAATGTAAATATACACAGTTTTTACTCATTTGCTTGTAGGTAGCCAAGACCCACCAAAGTCTATACCCTCAATTTAATGACCACTCTATTAGGATGTAATGAGTTTTAAAAAGCAGTTAATACTTCTCTCTAATAAAACATAAATGTCAAGTAGACTGTTGTTGCCTAAATGCTAGAGAGTAGGCAACAATAGTCTTGTCCATTGTTTTCATAATTTCCAACCAAATAGATGATTTTTTTCTAAAACTTAAAACTATTACAATTGATATATACATTTTTATGCATTCTATGTTGAAGTGAGAATGTAAGTTATTATGTTCCTGGAATATTTTGACCTCAGAATAATGACTGTGTGACTTTCCCCCCATAGGAACAATGCAGAGGAGGATAGAAAAGATAACATGGATCTTCAAGTATTGTCATGACAAGCAGTAGAAATGCAATATCAAGATTAACTTTGACTGAATGATATCTTCAGCATGTTTTTGGATTATTTGTTAACTATTAATTCTACTTATGTCAAATAGAGTAGTATTTACAGCTACTATTTAATCTTTTATTGCAGTGAAATGTACTGTGTTTTATATTTCAGTTAAATATTGTGCTGTTGAGAATTACACTGTAGTTTTGCTTTAATAAATCAAAGCCGTATTTGCCCCCTTTTCCAATCTGCAACTTATTAGATGTTAATCCTGTATGTGTAATTTATGTCTTACTTGCCTCAGTTCCACATCACACCATGAATACACATCTTCCTTCTCACTTTAACTGAATTGTAGAGAGATGTTTTCCAAATAGTATGTGCCAGTAATCTTTACTGTGTGTTACACCAAATGCATAATGCTAGTTACTGTAAACTCTATCTCCTGAAAGAAACTTACTGTCTAGTTTGAGGTATAAGTAATTCCCATCTGTATAAAAACAGTCTTGACAATACGAAGAAGTTTGTTTTGAATCAAATAAAGTGTGTTAATAGAAACTCAGTGAAGGCTGGGGCCAGTGAAGGCTGGGGCCAGCGCTGTGGCGTAGCAGGTAAAGCCGCCACCTGTGGCGCTGGCATCCCATATAGGTGCTGGTTTGAGTCCCGGCTGCTCCACTTCCGATCCAGCTCTCTGCTGTGGCCTGGGAAAGCAGTAGAGGATGGCTCAAGTCCTTGGGCCCCTGCACCCACGTGGGAGACCCGGAAGAAGCTCCTGGCTCCTGGCTTCGGATCGGCACAGCTACAGCTGTCGCAAACAATTGGGAAGTGAACAAGCAGATGAAAGACGCACCCCCCTTCTCTCTCTCTCTCTCTGCTTCTCCTTCTCTCTTTGTAACTCTGACTTTCAAATAAATAAAATCTTTTTAAAAAAAGAAACTCAGTGAAAGGCAGAAAAGTTATGGCAGATTCGGGATTTGAATTAGGTTTGAGCAATTCAGTTATTTTTGATGGGCTGATATCCTGGTGTTCTACTTGGTTTCAGCATGTGATTTATAGTTTTGGGTTTTTGTGTATTGTTCATTTATTTGTTTTTTTAAAGCCTTGTTCTTAACTTTGAAACAGTCTGATCTCTTGTATTTTCTTGTTTTACCTAAGTCACAGATGTGTTGTTCCAAAATGATGAAATTAAAGCCAAAATAAACCACCTAAATGTGTTGAAGTGACTAGACCTTACTTGCTTATTGTTACTGAGCTGAATTTTTGTTGTACTGACTGTAGATGACCATCATGAGGGGTATACACTACAGAACGAAAAAGTATTTGAAATGAGTATTAGTTATGAGTGAAAAAATATCAGAAGTACATGTCCTCTTTCTCCTATCAAAACTTTTCTGAAAAGTAGCTTCTTAACAGGTGGGTTTTTGTAACCACTCAAAATTATAGAATATGAAAATAATCCAGAGACCATTTAATCTTGTGGATGGTTTCTGTAGGTAAGCATAGCTTTTGAATATAACCTTGAGTAAGCTCTAATATTTAAGTTTGATATTTTCAAAAATTTTTGCTTGTTTATTTTGATTTATTTAAAAGGCAGAGAAACAGAGAACGAGAGAGGGAAGGAGAAAGAGAGAGAACTAACCAGAGACAGAGATCTTCCATCCAATGGTTCACTCCCCAATGTCTACAACAACTGGGGATACCCGGTAAGGCCAAAGCCAGAAGCCCAGAACACCATCTGGGTCTTCCTCATGGATGGCAGGGACCCAAGTACTTGAGCCATCACCTGCTGCCTCCCTAGCGTGTGCATTAGCAGGAAGCTGGAATTGAAATGGAGCTGGGACTGTAAACAAAGGCACTTCAATATGGGATATGGTTGCCCTGGGCAATGTTTTAACTACTGTGCCAAATGCCTGCCCTCAAGTTGAGTATTATTATTGTTATACTCTAAAGACATTTTTCCCAGTGTTTTGGAGGGTCAAATCTTGTAGAGTAACCTGTAGTATAAATTATGTTCCACAATGAGCGAAGAGAGTATAGTGTTTTTAGAGGATATACTAGTTCTAAGCTTGTGCCTGCCTAATTAACTGGACAAATAATTTCCTCTTGGGCATTATCTTTTGTCTATAAAATGAAAGACAATATTAGAGTTGTTCCAACTGTTTTATGAGTAGAAAACTACTTTTCATTTCACTGAACTTTTGAGATTCCTAAGTAAAATAAAGAGAAAAGGCTTTAGTACTGCTTGTACTACCTTACTGTTACACTGTCTTCCCTGGGCGTTCCAGTATTTTGTTGAGTACATAGCAGGTGCTACAGGATGGCAGGCAGCTTCTGGATTAAGATTTACTAGGAGGTCTCAATATATTATCTAGAATCTGGAGCCTTGAACTAAATCATCCGTAAAGTTATTTCTGACTCTGGTTCTAACATGTGTCTTTAAGACATGGCATTGTTGAAAAAATATTAATTAAAAAGATTAAAAATAACCTATTTTGCCAGTAGTTACAAGGCAATATTTAGGTTAGGTACTGGAGTGTTAAGTCCTCCTAACCATTGTTAACCAGCTAAGTGGCTGAAATAGAATTCTTAAATTTGTAATGTTGACATTTCTCAGTGCTTATTTTTTTTATCCTTTGGAAAAGATGCTATATTTATTCTCTCTGTAACAGCACTTAAGCCTTCTCATTTGGGAAATTTGAAAGACATGCACAGTTGTTTACTCTTAATATTAGATGACGAGTCGATTCAAGAGAAGATTTTTGGTTTTGACAACTTCTTCCATATCTTGGAATTATAATTGCTTCATAATGTATTCATCACAAGTGCGCTGCAAACCAAGCACCTAAAAAGGACAAACCTTGAAAATGTGTCTATATTAAGGAGAAACTTCTTTTGGAGAAGCTTCTTGCTTAATTAAACTAACCTTGTTAAATTGTCAAAAAGACAAATGAGACATATTTTTCAGTTTGTCATAAATTCTTTTAGGGATAAAATTGTAAAATTACTTCATGGTAAGATCGCTGCTCATGAATAACATCTTGAGATCCCAAAGCTTTTAATACATGATCTGATTTCCTCTTGAGGTGGGGGGAAGAATACAGTGGGAAATGCAATAGCTATTGTTACAAAGTTAATAAGTTTGGAAAAGCTAGGAATAGCGTACTTTTTCTTCTAGTGCAATTTTCTGAAATGTGCCTTGGTGCCTAACACCAAGGCTTGCTACAGTTGTGCAAAAACATAAAATACTTCTTTTTAAAAATATTTATTTATTTATTTGAAAGTCAGAGTTACAAAGAGGCAGAGGCAAAGGCAGAGAGACAGAAAGAAAGGTCTTCCATCTGCTGGTTCACTCCCCAGATGGCCACAACAGCCAGAGTTGCAATGATCCAAAGCCAGGAGCTTCTTCCCGGTCTCCACACAGGTGCAGGGGCCCAAGGACTTGGGCCATCTTCTACTGCTTTCCCAGGCTATAGGAGAGAGCTCGATCAGAAGAGGAGCAGCCGGGACTTGAACTGGCCCACATATGGGATGCTGGCACTGCAGGCGGTGTTTTTACCCACTGTGCCACAGTGCTAGCCCCAGAATACTTATGACCTTGCTTTCCAGTTACCATACTCAGTATGTATCACTTCCATAGCAATAGACTATGTTTTATTAGGAGTTCTGTACAAGTTTGGTGTGATGGTTGGTGTAATATTTGTTCCATGCTTTACCTTCCAGAGGACAAACATATTAACAACTTTGGTATGCCTTTCCATTTCCTTATTGACAAATGTTTTGATTGGACAGTTTGGTTGAGCAGCAGAATTCAGCCCCTGCCACCACCACACAGGATTGACCTTATGGTGCAAGCTATGATTTTGTTTATACTTACATTCAGTCTGTGTTCTGTGCCAAAGTGACAAAGTGGTGCATGTTATGTCTGCATTCACTTTTGTGTTTCAAGAGCACAGCTATTTGCATATGACAGATTTTGGGTAATATTTACCATGATATTTTCTTTTTTTAAGATTTATTTTGTTTATTTGAAAAAGTTAAAGAGAGAGGGGTAGAGTCAGAGAGAGAGAGAGAGAGAGAGAGAGAGAGGTCTTCCATTCCATTGGTTCACTCCCCAAATAACCACAATGGCCAGAGCTGAGCTGATCCTAAGCCAGGAGCCCGGAGCTTCTTCCGGGTCTCCCACGCAGATGCAGGGACTCAAGCACTTGGGCCATCTTCCACTGCTTTCCCAAGCCATAGCAGAGAGCTGAATCAGAAAAGGAGCAGCCAGGACACAAACTGGCGCCCATATGGGGTGTTGGCACTGCAGGCTGGGGCTTTAACCCGCTGCGCCATAGCGCTGGCCCCTACCATGATATTTTCAATCTGCTAGAAGTTCTCGGATAGGACACAATGTTTTCCAAGAGCTGCTCTTTGATCTTTTTCTTCTAACTTGAGAATGGCAGTACAAATCAATTTGAGTAAGCCTGAACTTACTGAATATCTTTGGCATATTTACTCATAGATGGACACCTTTTAAATTTAAAACCATATTTATGTATAGTCACCCTGTTTATCGGATGTAGTCTCCTCATTTTAAAGATTAGGCAGCCAACCTAGATCAGTTAAAGAAACTTAATAGCACACATAGTCTAGTAACGTGCCAGAGCAAAAAGTCAAGTCTAGATGGCCTCCAAACCCTACCATGCTGTATTGTTGATAACTTTAAACTGCGGCGAGAGCTGTGGCATAGTAGGCTAAGCCTCTGCCTGCAGCACCGGCATCCCATATGGGCACCTGTTTGAGTCCTAGCTGCACCTCTTCTGATCCAGCTCTCTGCTAATGGCCTGGGAAAGTAGTGGAAGATGGCCCAAATGCTTGAGTCCCTGTACAAACGTGGTAAACCTAGAAGAAGCCCCTGGCTCCTGGCTTTGGATCAGTGCAACTCCAGCCATTGCAGCCATTTGGGGAGTGAACCAGCAGACGAAAGACTTCTCTATCTGCCTGTCCTTCTTTCTATCTGTAACTCTGCCTCTCAAATAAATAATCTTAAAAAAAAAAAAAAAAAAAAGAACTGAGATTCGAATCCAAGCAATGTGATTCTCCCATCCACCTAACCTACACTTTTGTTTTGTTTTGTTTTTTGGCTTGTTGTGATATCAGATTTTTTTAAATTATGAAATAATTCAGTAGGTAATATAGTCATGTGGTTCGAAATTCAGAGGGCACAAAAAAGATACACAGTGAACAGTTCTTCCTGCCTTTGTCCTTTAGCCATCCAGTTTCCCTTCCTAGAGGCATTCACTTACCATTGTATGTTCTAGAGATATTTCGTGTGTGGACAAACAAATATTCCCCCTCTCCCTCTCGATCTGTAACTCTGACTTTGAAATAAATTAATAAATCTTAAAGCATTCTCCCTTTTGATACACAAATAGAAGTATACTATACACATTATCTGGAAATTGCTATTGCACCAAATATATTTTGGAGATTTTCAATAGCAGTCCATAGAGAACTTTGTAATATTTGTAACTGCTGTGTAACATATTCTTGAGTATTATTTTCCAATATTTTGTTATAAAAATGTTGCAATGAATGGTAATGTATATGAGGTACTGAGGATAGTATTCATGGATACTGAATTGCTACTTTAAAGGGAACATTCATATATGATTTCAGTAGTGAACTAAAATTGTCCTCCACAGTGGTTTTACCAGGTTATGTTCCAACCAGCAATGTATTGAGAGTGCCTGTTCTCCACAATCTCCACAAATAAGCAGACTATCTAACTTTTGTATCTTTCACAGTCTGGTAAGTGAAAAGTCTTATTTTAGTGTACTTTTAAAATTTAAACTTTATTTGAGGCTGGTGCTGTGGTGTAGCAGGATAAGCTCTGCCTGCGATGCTGGCAGACCCATACTGGTGCCAGTTTGAGTCCCGGCTGTTCCACCTCTGATCTAGCTCCCTGCTAATGTGCCTGGGACAGCAGTAAAGGATAGCCCAAGTCTTTGTGCCCATGCATCCACACAAGAGACCCAGATGCAGCTCCTGGCTGCTGGCTTTGGCCTGACCCAGCCCCTGTAGTTGCAGCCATTTGGAGAATGAACCAGTGGATGGAAGATCTGTTCTCTCTACTTCTCTCTCTCTCTCTCTCTCTGTGTGTGTGTGTGTGTGTGTAGCTCTGCCTAGCAAATAAATAAATCTTTAAAAAATTCAAACTTTATCTTTGTTTTTGAGAGCTACAGAAAATTTGCATAATGCGTAGTACTATATACTTCCATCCAGTTTACCTTAGTATTAACATCTTACATAACTGGTGCATTCATCACAGCTAATAACTCTTATTAACTAAAGTGCATTATTTATCACAATTTCTTAGTTTTTACATAATGCCCTTTTTCTGTTTCAAGATCCTACCCAGGATATCACATTACATTTAGTAATCATGTCTCCTTTGGTTCCTCATGGCTGTGACAAAATCTTGGGTTTTCTTGCTTTGGATGACCTGGGTAGTTTTCAGAAGTATTAGTCTGTTTACTATGAAATTTCCATCTCACTTTTAAGTGAGATTGAACTTTTTTCTTCTTATAAAGACATTTATACTTCCATTACTGGGAACTAAGAGCCAATGCTTTTAACCACTATACTATACCTCTCTCTTGATTCACTATAATTACAAATAAAACATTCATGAGTTTGAATATATACAGATTTCGGATTTTGAACTGACTGAACTCAGAAGTCTTACAGATGTAGAACTGTTAGTGCAAATGTCATGGGTGGACTTTTATCTCATCTAGGAGGACTAGTGGCTTTACTGGGAAGAACAGGGTCGACAGCGATCAATTTGAGGGAAGTTAGAGTAAAGCTAGGATTTAGTAATATTGGATAAGAGAATCAAGAAGACCAAGGTTACTTCTGGTTTTGAAGCTGGATATTTTGAGTGTTTTCTTTAACTCATATGAGAAATATTCGGACCAGTTACCATGTAGCAGTCACTCAACACCTGTTTTCCCTTTCTGTTTCTCTGGTACTACATTTCCCAGAGTTCCACGCTCCACCACAATTCCCCCTTAGAGTCTGCCGCTAAGAGTTCTGGGACTTGAGGTCCGCGGCCTATTCGCCCATTCACCCAAGTTAGCGATAGGGGCCTGTGGAAGCATGAAGAGGTAAGGGCTTGTCTGAGGAGCAGGCGGCATGGGGACCTCTGTTCTACCTTTAACTTTGAAAATGGCTGTTACCGCTTTCTGTTTGGAAGGTGTCAGGTTCTCAGGATGCGGTTTCTTGTAAGCGGGAAGTCCAACGCGGAGGTGGTGGTGGTGGTGGGGGGTGGGGGGGCGGAAGGACAGGCCTGCGGGGCGAAGTTCAGGAAGGGCCAGTGCAGGGGCGGGTTCGGCCTGATGTGCCCCCTCCCGCCCTAGGCCCCGGGAACTTGCTGGGTACTGCGGCTTCTTCGTGTTTCGGATGCACCCACTCAGGCAAATGGGTCTTGGCTGGCACGTTCCCGGTGTCTGAAATACCCAGGCCAGCTCCTCCCGTTGTCGCCCCAACTTACCTCACCCTCAGACCGGAACTCAGGGTGTACAGGGGCTCAGGATGTGCCCCATTTGCTTAGGATGCCTGTATATATTAAGGAAGACTTGCGGGGGTAGCGACCCCACGGAGTGCTTTCAAATCTTAGAGTAAAGAAGTGCTACATTGTTTCTATAAATTTAGAAGGAAAGCACAAAGCGGGTAGGATGTATTTATAGAAGGAAAGCGTGGCTGTGAGCAGCCTTCCCCCCCTCCCCGCCGTGGTCCCGCAGTAAATGGCAGTGAGAACTTGGAGGGTCATTGTTGAGAGTGTGAGCCTCACGATTTTTGGCAGGACAGAAAGCCTTTAAAGAGGGTCTCATTAAAATAGTTTTGTGCAAGTAGTCATCACTGGGATAGTGCGGTGCATTTAAAATAGTTTCTAATATGCTGTCCTGTACTATCAGTTCCTTGCATCTTTTAAAAAACTGTTTCTGATTTTCCTTGTCTGAAAATAACCTTGAAATTTTTCATGGTGAGATAGCTCACACATGCAAAATAATGCATATATACAATTTAAAAACGAACGAAGGCTCACACTCTACAAATTTAAGGAGTAGAACATTACCAGTCCCTTAGAATTCCCTTGTCTCCTGTTTACTTCCCTCGCTTCCCTTCCCTGGGAGGTGATCACTGTCTGGAATTTTGAATTAATAATTCCCTTCCTTTTTTGTATGTTTTTTAAAAATTCATTTTAGCACATATAAATTTTTCCTTAAACATATTCCTACTTTCCCCATTTCAACTTTTTACAAATACTGCATGAGGTTTTCTGTGACCTGCTTGTTTTTTTAACAGCATTTCTTTTTGAGATGCATGTGTCTTGATTAATTTAGCTAACTCTCTACCTAAAGAGATTTTTGAGTTTCCCAAAATAAGTCCAAATCGTTCTACAGTATGCTAATAGTCATAGGGGTTACTTTTTCTAGACCTTATCATAACCCCACTAGGAAAGGGCTATTTTATAAGGAAAGTACTCAATATTAAGCATGCTTAAATGGTATAAACATTAAGAAATATCTTTATGCTCTAATAACAATTTTCAGTTATTTAGGGTCAGTTAGCTCATGCTATCCATTACTCAGATTTCTACACAGTGATTCTAAGCAAAAAAATGTTATGACCCTCTTCATATTTCTTTCTATACTGTGTCCTTTGGAGATCTCCTTTTTTCATAGCTCCAAACCTCATCAACACAGCTTACTTGAAATTTTGTTATTCAGCCTCAGACTCTATTCAATAGTTGTATCATCTCTCATTTTCCTTCTAGCCAATCATTCATACTGCCATCTCAGACTCAATGTTTTTATAGCATTCCAGATACTTCATGCTAGTGTTTCAGTTGTGGTGTATGGTTGATTTCACAAAGCTAAGGCAATACTGGCTTTCCCTTTCGCAAATCACTTATTCCATCTGGAGCTGCTTCTTTGCTTCAAGCACCATCATTGTGTGAATTTCACAGCTTAAAATGTGGGGGTTAGCTTTGACTTCCTTGCCCTTGCCTTCAAAAGAACTCTCTCATCTAACCCTTCCTTTCTATTTCCACTATTAACATTTCAGACTAGACCTTCATCACTTTGTCTTTTGGTAGTTTGGTAAAGAGTTGTTCTGATTTTTTCTCTTCTAATTCATATGGCACATAATAGCCACATCTCTCTTCCTAAACAATCACTTGCACTGCGTCACTTAATCACTACTTTATAATATCTATAACATTAAATATAGGGGTCCCTCATCTGGCCCTTCACAATCTGAGACTTACCCTCTATGATCATCTTCCAGTACTCCCAAATGTGAATGCCAGCTAAATGGAACATCTCATTACACATCAGTGCACATTTCTGTCTCTTCATACTCAGACTTCCAATTCTCCTTTACTTCATCACACCCTGTCCTTCCAATGCCAATTTGAGAATACCTTTCTGAAATTTTCCTTTACCACTCTAGCTCTGAATTCTTTCTTCTGTGAACTGCTACTAATTTGGTATATGTGTCTCTGTATCATTATTCATTCTCTCTCTCTTTTCCCTCTCACTTTTTTTCTTTCTTCCCTTCCCATCTTCCCCCTCCCTCCTACAGACCTTTGTGCACAACACATACATACACATAAGTTTCTTTTGTCTGAAGAAGTTGCAGGCTTCTTGAAGATAGGGACTGTCTTGTATTATCTTTGAGCTCCGTAAGTACCTAGTTCTTTGTGTAAATAGGTATTTAGCAAATGCTTACTAGAGAAGTGTCCTTGAGCAAATAGGGTTACTAATGGTTGATAATATAGATAAGGAAAATATTTGGAGATTCTGTCTCTTCTGCTTTCTGGATATATTCTTATATCTACTCCAGGATAAACAGCTGTGTGAAGAGTGATGAGCGTGTCTTGGAGGAGCTGGAAACAGAAGGGGAGAGACAGCTGAAAAGCCTCCTTCAGCATCAACTTGATACCTCTGTCTCCATTGAGGAGTAGGTATTGATTTTGCAAACGGATACAGTGTCATAAGCCCATGCCTCCAGGTGCCCCCTCTCAAAACCTAGAGGGAACATTCCTCTCCTACCCCCTTTCTTTGACAAATTTCTGGTTATTAGGCAGGGTTTTGTTTCTTTGTCTCTTTATCTGAGAAGGCTCCCATATTCTATTAAGTCTGAGCTGAGTACCTTTCCTGTGTCCTACAACACCCTGAGTTTTCACTAACATAATACTTATAACCCGGCCGGCGCCGCGGCTCACTAGGCTAATCCTCTGCCTTGCTGCGCCGGCACACTGGGTTCTAGTCCCGGTCGGGGCGCCGGATTCTGTCCCGGTTGCCCCTCTTCCAGGCCAGCTCTCTGCTGTGGCCAGGGAGTGCAGTGGAGGATGGCCCAAGTGCTTGGGCCCTGCACCCCATGGGAGACCAGGATAAGTACTTGGCTCCTGCCACCGGATCAGCGCGGTGCGCCGGCCGCAGCTTGCTGGCCGCAGCGGCCATTGGAGGGTGAACCAACGGCAAAAGGAAGACCTTTCTCTCTGTCTCTCTCTCTCACTGTCCACTCTGCCTGTCAAAAAATAAAAAAAATACTTATAACCCAAATATTATCAATGCTTGTTTATTTGCCTCTGTTCTACTGTTCTTCCATAAAAGCAGGAGTCATTTTATCTATTAGAGCCTCAGCATATAGCACAGTTTCTGATACAGCATATGTACTAAAAAAAAAAAAAATCTGTTGATTCAGTCCCTGAATGAGGGACTGTTGCTAGAGTTCCGTTTTGTTCCAGAGGTGTGTCAGCGTTAGAAATAAGATGTAAGAAATTGTTGCTGAGTTCCATTGTGCCTCCTAGAATGATGACCCCCGTGTGTGTGCATTGTGGTAACCTCAGTTTGTTCTTACTGTCTCCCTGCTTGTTTTGCAGATGTGTCTCTAAGAAAGAGAGTTTTGCTCCTGGTACTATGTACAGGCCCTTTGGGAAGGAAGCAGCTGGGACTATGACTTTGTCCCAGTTCCAGACACTGCATGAGAAGGACCAGGAAACTGCTTCTCTCAGGGAATTAGGGCTCAATGAAACAGAAATCTTGATCTGGAAGAGCCATGTGTCAGGTGAAAAGGTGAGCGGAGCAACATTGTTTTCTGGAGAATAAAATACGAGACCTCTTCATTATGGCATTGAGAACCTTTCCCTTTTTAGTTTTCAGAAAACTGAGCTTTGTGTCTCAATCTTTCATTTTTAGGATAGGAACATTGGTAACAAGAAGTTTTTCCTTGACTTCTTAGTTAACATTTTTTATAAATGTTTATTTCTGGGCCCTGATCAGCTTTCTTAGTTGAGGCATCAGATCATCACTTTCATGGTGTGTCCTCTATGACGTATGCCATCTCATTCCTCTGGTTTCAGAGGACAAGACTGAGGGCAACTCCTGAAGCAATACAGAAACGTCTCCAAGATATTGAAGAAAGGATCTCAGAGCGTCAGCGCATCCTTTGCCTGCCACAGAGATTTGCAAAGAGCAAACAGTTGACCCGACGGGAAATGGAAATAGAAAAGTCTTTATTTCAGGGAGCTGATCGTCACTCCTTCCTTAAGGCTCTTTATTACCAAGGTATGTGATCCCTACTGACTTTGATGTGTTCTCTCACTGAGAGAAAGATTTAACATCAGGACATTAAATATGAAGAATTAGTGAAGAGAGTAGGAAAAACCAAGCTATCACTACTCTTGCGGAATATATAATCCCATGAGAGAGACAAATATGTGCACAGTTAGTTGCATGACACCGTGGAAATTGGTATCACTGAGATTGGAATAAAATGCTGAGGGAACACAGAACACGGAGCATCGAAGTCCAGTTGGGGGAGTCAGAAATTGACATTTGTACTAAGTCTTGATGGATAAAAAGGCATTTGTCAGGTATATTAAGGGATAAGGGTAATGCAGATACAGAGTGAATATGAATAAGATTGTAAAAGGAACGTGTGGGTCTGGAAAACAATGAAAAATCCAGTGTGACAGAAGTACAAGGCACAGCGGGGAATGACAGAGGACACTAGAAACGGAAGTGAGGTGAGCTAGTGAACAGAATATGTAGATAAATACTATGTCTTTCCCTTAAAGAATTAATTTAACAGATAAGTTTTACCATGCACTGTGGAAGGTGCACAGAAATTTCAGAAACAATTCTTTACCTTGTGTCAAGTACAGTGTGGTTGGAGAGATAAATATAACATTTAGTAACAATGCTAGATAACACCACTAAGTGCTGTGGGAGTTCAAAGGAGGGAAGGCTACTTGTGTATTGGCATGAAGGCAGAAGGCCTCTCAGAGGAGGTAAGATTTAAACTTTCTTTTGATACTGATCGGGGCCTCAGGTGCAACAGAGGATGTGAGTACTATGGAGTATTTGGGAGAGTAATGAGTAACAAAGTTGGAAAGGTGACTAAGAATTTAGAACTTCACTTGGTGGATAGTAGAGACCTATACATAGTTACTCAATCAGTTAGTTTGAATGTGTTAAAGGTTTTCAAGTCAAGAGTAATATGATAAAAGCCATATAAGAGTAATCTAGTAGTCCAATAAATAGGATTTTATAGAGGAAGAACTAGAAATAGGGAGAATGGTTAAGAGGTATGACAGGCTTGAAGATCTGGCCTTGAATGATGGCAGTGGGATTGGAAAGAGAGGTATACGTGGTTATAAGAGACATTATAAAGGAAGAATTGATAAACTTGTTGACTGCCAATAAAAGAGGAGGGTGAGTGGAAATGAATGTGTCAAAGAAAACCCAGATATTTCAAGGCTGTGTAACTAACTTAACTGACAAATTGAGAAAGCTATTTTTGTGTAAATTTTGCAAAAGGATGATGAGTTTGATTTTAAACATGTCAAATTTGTGAGAATGGCAAGATCATCAAATGCAGATATTGAGGGGGCAGTTAATTGGTAATACAGCAGTGAAGCTCAGGAGAGGTTAGAACTAAATATATAGAATCGGGAATCATCTCTGCTTAGACGATATATTAAAGGCATGAGTTGATTGAACGATTCATTAGTGGGAAGGAAGGAATGAACACATTAACAGCATTTTGTGGAAAGAATTTATACTGTTTAAGAACATGGACTCTGGAGGCTGAATGCCTGGGAAAATCCTGACTCCCCCACTTACTAACTATGAGATGCTGGTCAAGTTACTTCTCCATGCTTCCATTTTTTTTTGTCTGCAAAATCAGAGTATTAATAGTAGCTGTATTATAGGGTTGTTAGGAGGATTATATGAGCTATTACATGTAAATCACTTAGAGTAGTACCTGTTATTTGGGGTGGGGAGGGGGGGTGGTGTATGAATCTGTTCTGTTTCCTATCTTTGAAACTCCTTGCTTTATTTAAACCCTTCACAGCATACCACAAAAAGACAAGTGCAGACAAGTACATGACCTCAATGAAGAGGAAGATAAAATTAGGCACAAAAGGCAAGTCGAGAGTTTTCTTACAGTGTTAGATTTAGGAATGTGACTAGGACCCCAGACTTCTAAGTTGAGCACTTATTTAATTCCATATTCAGTATATCACAATGTTTATAGGAAATTATCTAGAGAGAACATATTTTACTGATACAGAATATCAGAGAGAGGAGTTAGTAGACGTTGTAAAGCAACTTTTAGTGTTGTTGTTGTTGTTTTCTATACCTTTACATTATTCTGCCAGACATAAATTGACTTTAATGATTTTTAGATCCCATTTAATAAAGAATTCTGAATGTTTTTGTTCTATTGATGATTACAATGATGCTAATATAATAGCTAATATTTTCTTTTATTTTTGAAATGAACTTATAATAAAATTGCATGGGCTTTTTTTGGTATACAATTCTATGAATTGTAAATCATGTAGATTTATGTGACCATCACCACAATCAGGATAGAGAACAACTCCATCACTCTAAAAAAACTCCCTCATACTATCCCTTTTTAATCACTCCCATCCCCACCCATAATCTCTAACAATCACTGATCTGTTCTCCATCTCTGTAGTATTATCTTTTAGAGAGTATAATCATCTGAATGGAATTATAGACTCTGTAACCTTGTGAGTCTGGCTTCTTTCACTCAGCATGAGTCTTTGAGGCTCATCCAAATTGTTGTGTCTATCAATATCCTGTTCATTTTTCTGAGCAGCATTTCATTGTATGAATGTTCCAGAGCTTGTTTATCCATTTATCCATTGAAATACATTTGGATTGTTTCCAGATTATGGTGGTTATGAATAATATTGATGTGAACATTCTTGTATGGGTTTTGTATGAACACAAGTTTTTATTTCTCTAAGGTAAATATCTAGAAGTGAGATTACTGGGTCATATGGTAAGTGCACATTTAACTTTATATGGAACTGCCAATCATTTTCCAGAGTGGCTGTACCATTTTGCATTTCCACCAGCAATGTATGAGAGTTCCAGTTGCTCTACATCTTTGTCAGTATTTGGTATTGTCAGTATTTATTTTGGTTATTTTAATAGGTGTGAAATACCTCATCATAGTTTTAATTTGCATTTCCTTTATGGCTAATGATGTTGAACATCTTTTCATGTGCTTATTTGCCATCTTTATATCCTGTTTGCTAAAATGTCTGTTCAGATCTTTGCCATTTTATGATTGGTTATTTATTTTCTTCCTGATGATTTTGAGGGTACTTCATGTATTCCCAACACAAACCTTTGTTGGATATGTGATTTACAAGTATTTTCTCTCAGTCTGTATAGCTTGTCTTTTCATTCTCTTAGCCATGTTTTTGTAAATTTTTATTATAAAATCTATATAACACAAAACTTAGTATTTTATCCAATTTTTAAATGTTTAGTTCTGTGGCATTAGATACATTTACACTTTTTTGCAGCCAACACAATCATCTATCTCCAAAACTTTCTCATCTACCCAAACTGAAACTTTGTACCTATTAAACACTAACTCCCATTTTTCCTTTCTCCATCCTGTGGGAACCACTGTCTTTCTATAAATTTGACTACTCTAGGTACCTCATAAAAGTGGAAACATAAAATATTTGTCCTTTTGTCACTATCTTATTTTACTTAATGTAATATCTTTAAGGCTCATTTGTGTTATAACGTGTCAGAATTTCTTTCCTTTTTAAGGCTAAATAATATTCTGTTGTATGTTTGTATCATGTTTTGTTTATTCATTGGCCATCACTGGACACTTATGTTGCTTCCTTGTTTTAGCTATTGTGAATAATGCTTCTACAAACACAGGTGTACAAATATCTGTTGAATATCTACTTTCAATTCTTTTGGGTATATTTCCAGAAGTGGAATTGCTGGATAATACAAAAGGCTTCAGAAAGTTCATGGAAAGTGAATGTTTTCTTTTAATTCCACTTTTTCATAAAATTTTTAATGTCCCCTCATATTATAGTTCCCCATATAGTTTTTTGAGGAACTGCCATGTTTTCCAGAGACTATATCATTTTACCTTCTGACCAGCAATGCACAAGGGTTCTCATTTCTTCACACTCTCAGCAAAAATTGTTATTTTTAATTTTTTTGTATAATGACCATCTTAATGGATATTAGGTGATATTTTAAAATTCATTTATTTTTATTTATTTGAAAGGCAGAGGAGAGAGAAAGAGGGAGACAGAGAGCTCTCACTCCCCAAATGGCTGCAACAGCCCCATATGGGCCAGGACTAACCCAGAAGCCAGAAACTTCAAGCAGGTCTCTCACATGGATGACAGGAACCCAAGTACTTGAGCCATCATCTGCTTTTCCCAGGGTACATATTAGCAGGAAGCTGGTTTGGGACTTTATTCCAGATACTCTGATACGGAATGCAGGCATCCCAAGCAGCAGATTAACTGGCTGTACCACAACACCCACCGATCATTGTGGTTTTATTTGCATTTTCCTGATGGTTAGCACTGATGAGCATCTTTTCATATGCTTTTTGACAATTTGTATATATTCTTTGGAGAAATATCTGTTCAAGTCCTTTGCCCAATTTTTAAATGGGTTGCTGTTCATTTGTTGAGTTTTTGAAGTACTACCTATTTTCTATATATTAATCCCTCTTAAGATAAATGATTGACAAGCCCATTCATAGATTGTGTTTTCACATTGTTGGTGGTGTTCTTCGATAGTTTTTAATTCTCATGAAGATTAACTTGTCTATTTTTCTTTTGTTTTGTTTGCTTTTTGTGTCATATCTGAGAAATTATTGCCACATCCAATGTCATGAAGCTTTTCCTCCCAATGTTATTTTAAGAGTTTTATGGTTTTAGCTCTAGGGGTGGGCATTTGGTGCAGCAATTAAGATGCCACTTGAGACATCCATATCCCATAAGAGTGCCTGGGTTTGAATACTGGCTCTGCCCCCTATTTCCAGTGTTCTGCTAATGTCCATGGAGGCCTCCAGGGATGGTATAAATAGTTGAGTCCCAACACTATTGAGTTCCCAGCTTCCCGACATTTAGGGAGCGAATGAGTGGGTGGGAGGTTTCTCTCTTTGTCTCTGCCTCTTTCAAATAAATAAATAAAAAATACATATATAGTTTAGCTCTTACATTTAGGTCTCTAGTCTGTTTTAAGTTAATTGTTGTGTATTGTTTGAGGTAAGGATCCAACTTCATTTTTTTGTGTTGATATACAATTTTCTTAGTACCACCTGTTGAAAAAAACTATTCTTTCCACACCGAGTGATTTTGACACTCTGTTCAAAAATCATTTTATCAATATGTGCAAGGGTTTACTTCTTGGATCTCTATTCTGTTCCCCATGTATCTGACTTTATGCTAGTACCGTGCTATTTTAATTATTGAAGCTTTGTAGGGAGTTTTGAAATGAGGAAGCGTAATATCTCCAACTTTGTTCTCCCTTTTTGACATTGTTTTTGGCTTGTTGGAAGTCCCTTGAGGTACTATATGACTATTAAAATAGATTTTTTCTACTTCTGGGAAGAAAATGTCATTGAGACTTTGGTAGGGATTGCATTGAATCTGTAGACTGCCTTGGTTAGAATTGACATCTTAATAGCATTAAATCTTCTAATCCATAAATGTAGGATCTCTTTCTGTTTGTGTCTTCTTTAATTTTTTTCAGCAGCATTTTGTAGCTTTTAGTGTATATATCTTTCATGTCGGAGCAAATGTTTGAAATTTTTATAAAATCCAGTTTATCAATTATTTTTTCATAGATCATGCTTTTAATATATACATATGTCTAAGAATTCTGCCTAACACATATTCATGAAAAATATCTTTCTGTTTTCTTTTAACAGTTTTGTAGTTGTACATTTTAAATTTAGATCTCTGATTCATTTGGACTTGATATTTATATAAGATGTGAAGTTGAAATTAAATTTTACTTTTTTGCTTATAATGTGCATTTATTTCATTTTCAACTATTTAAAACAGTATCCTTCCTCCATTTGTTTGCCTCTGTGTTTTTGCCAGAAATCAATTGGCCAGATTTGTATGTTAATACTTAATATCATAATTAATGGTAAAAGACTGAAAATTGTCTCTCAAGATCAGGAATAAGGCAAGAATGCCCATTCTTGCAACTTACATTTATAATGGAATGAAATTAAAAATCATTGACAGTACATTTAAGAAATTTACAAATGTGGAAATTAACACTCTACTGAATAGTTGATAGATAAGAAGAAATTACAAGGGACATTAAAGCATATTTTTCAAATGAGTGATCTTAATGTATCAAAAAATTTTAGGATGCAGTAAAAGCAGTGTCTAGGAGGATATTTATACTTATTAATGTGCATATTGATAAAATTAATAATGGACAGTTCCACTTTTAGAAATTATAAAAAAAAAGGAGCCAGTGTTGTAGCGCAGTTGGTCAAACATTGCTTGCAATGCTGTCATCTCATATATGGGAATGCCAATTCAAGTCCTTGCTATTCTACTAATGATCCAGCTTCCTGTTAATGTGGCTGGGAGGACCACAGAGGAGGCCCAAATATTTGAGCCCCTGCCACCCACCCATGTGGCAGAACAAGATGGAGATTCTGGCTCCTGTCTTTATCTTGGCCCAGCCCCACCTACTGTGGCCATTTGGAGCATGAACTAGCAGATGGAAGATCTCTCTCTCTCTCTGTCACCCAGGTCTCCCACGGGCAGGTGGCAGAAGCCCGAGCACTTGGGGCCATCTTCTGCTGCTTTCCCAGGCACGTTAGCAGGGAGCTCGATAAGAAGTGGAGCAGCCAGGGTTTGAACCTGCACTCATATGGGATATTGGCGTCACAGGTGATGGTTTAACAACCATGCCACAATGTCAGCCCCATAAATAAATCTTTTTTAAAAAATTACAAAACAGGGGACCAGTGTTGTGGCATAGCAGATAATGCTACAATGCCAGCATTCCTTATGAGTGCTGGTTTGTGTCCCAGCTGTTCCACTTTTGATAAAGCTCCCTGTTAATAGCCTGGGAAAAGTAAGA